CATGGTGGGGGCAAACCTATAGGACAGCACAAACTATTCCATGTAATTTCCCCTCTGAAGTGCAGGGTTACCATCCTGGGAATTTTGTGGTCTCGACTTTCACTGGGGAGCAGTGAGCCTCAGATATCATGGTATTCTGCCTCCCTTGTGTTCATCTCATTTGTAACTTTGCAATTATGTGTGGCCACAGAACAGCACAGACAGGGAGCCTTCTGCACACCCTGCTCAGATTGCCTCAGAAATAATACTACATGTTGTGGGAAATGTCAGACCTCTGTTTTAAAAACAAAGGGGGTTTTAAAAACAGCAGGGCTTCCTCCTTACCAAGAGAGAGAAATGTATGCTGGTCGATCTTGGCATGGCCACTGGGTGCTGAGCAAACCTGCTGCTTTACCTGCATTTGTACAACTGTATATCAACACACTCCCTTTGCAAACGATGCACTTGGATCGCATTTCTGAATCCTTTCATAGTACTGTGTGTGTGGGGAAGCACCAAACAATAAGGAAGGGGAGGTGATGAAAACAGGGAAACAACACGGGCATGCAGCAGGGCAGGGTGGGTGTGGATCTGGATTAGGAGAGGGGCTAGAGGGGAGTGCAGGTGCCAGAGCAAACAGGATCATGGGACGCCATGGGAAATGCTGAAGAAGTCAAACATAGCCACTGCCAGCAAGCCGCTTTCATCATCCTGAACAGGGAGACAGCTAATGCTGAGTCACAGGGCATTTTGTCATGCACCTGAGTTACATCCTCCCTGGGAAAAATAAAGTGTAATTACCACTTAAAAGCAGTGACAGACAAAAAGGTAGAGAAGAGCCTGCTCTGGTTTTCCCTAGCATGCACCTTGTCTAGCCACTGCAACCTGCAGGAAGTGATGTCAAATGCATTTTCCATATCATTTTCTTACAGCCTTACAGAGCCACAAAGCACAAGCCAGGAGCACACAGGGCTTCTGTTATTCACAGAAAAATTACCACATCTGAAGTAAAAGGAAGAAAGGTCATAATATTTGCTTTCCCATATAGATTTCTTGACTGATAGTAACTCCTTAGTTTCTGAATCCACAGCAATAAAAATACTTCACAGTTTTACGGCAGTCAATGCGTATTTCTGGTGTACATCAGAGATGTGTGATTTTGAAATGACTTTTAATAATAAAAAATTATGTGGAGAAGCAATGCAAGAACGCAGGTCCCTCTGCCCTGGCCTCTGGATGTCTTTCTTCCTCTCTGAAATTAAAAGCAATGCCATGGGGGATGCAGAAGGATGTTCTGGCTCATCTGTTCACTGCCATGCTCGCTAAATGTGAGGGCAGACAGCTGCACCAATGGTATTATATTAGATTTTAAGATTACTGAATAATAAATTAAAACAAAATGGCAGTGCCACTAGGTTCAAAAGTATTAAGTGTTCCAAGGAAAGATTAAGCACCTGTATCTGTACTCAGCCCTTTCTCAAAGACAAATTATCTTCTATGTGACTTGCACAGAAAGGAGTCCTGCCTCTGTGATGTTCTATAAATAATTCAGAAGTATGTTGCCATCTGCTGGAGAAAGTACATCTTTCATTACACCAACTGATAAATGTGGGAAAGTGCGGGAGGTTTGAGACATCAAAAACCCTTTCTTGAAATCTGAAAAGAAACAGACAGTTCCATCCAGCTCTTGCTGGTGCAGAAAGTTGGTTTCTGACAAAGGGCTTGGAGAACATGGGAAGGTGGTTAATAGTAGGTGGCAAACTCCTTTCAAGCTTTGATCTTTACCAGTGTAAATTACAATTGTTTTATGGCTTCCCTTATAGGTTCGAGCTCAGATTCTCCTAAGCAAACATAATACCCATGGGAAGACAACAGCGAAACCTTCTTTCTCCTTGAGTAATAGAAGGAAAGTGGTCAGAGATGCTGCCTGTGCTACCAGGAAACTGTCACCATTCAAAGATCTCTTGCCTGGGGGACATAGGCATCTGCAGCATTTTCCCCAAAGCAAGTACAGGGATGGCTGAGAGCTTGGCTGAATATTACCTCTGTTGGTATTTTATGGCCGTCATTGCTTTGGGAGAAGAACATGTGTTTGCTTATGGCTTTTATAAATGAGATTTATTTTTATGTTGACAACAGTTATGCAGTGTTCTATAGATAGTGAGATTAAGTGACGCCCAGTACCATATCCGCAGTGAAAATCAGTAGGGAAGTCCAGGGTTTAATTAAGATCATAATTGTGTTGCTAGGTAATCTCTGGGTCAATTCAAGTCATTTAGATCTCAGATGCATCTGTTACGCCCTTCCATCTTCCCAAAGCCACATCCTCGTGCCCTCTCTTCTGCACCAGCACATCATGGATCACATGGTCATCAGGTATGGGGCACTGAATGGCTCAATCTGCGAGCATACATGCATTAGTGCACATAGCATGGGCTGGGCAGGGCAGCCAGAAATGGCAGAGGTGGTGTCATGGGAGCACAAATTTAGACAAGCTCCCAGGAATCTGTTCCTCTCATATAGTACATTTATCCATGCCATTATCTAAAATTGGTCCTGAAAGGCAGTTGAAGAGGTTAGACGTTATACAGCATCTAAATGGTGACAGCTGTGTCCATAGCTTGGAGAAAATGTTAACCATTTGAGCTGGATCTGCTGTGAGTGTGAGCACAGCCATAGAGATAAGACCAGGGTTTGGTCTTCCAGATGAAATGCATCATCAGAATTGCTTACAGAAATCTCTCCCACAAGTTCCCCTTATCAAGTTAATACTACTACTACTACACACAAAACATAATCACTGTGATTCTCCACATACTCTTAGAGAATCAAAGAGCTGATAAATCCTTTGCCTGCAACCCTTGTTTCCCTACTCTTTTCAGAATGCAGTGCTAGGATACAGTTACTGAACATGTTTGTAAATTCAGTAATTACAAATGATAGTGCAGAAGGATGGAGCAGACTTGTGGGACTGGATTAGCTTTGTGCTGAAGATTCATTTCCAAATAAGGTGAGGAACTGACTTCCAGTTTAACCACACCAAAATAGGACAAAGGTTTCTCATGAGGTATCAGTCCTAACTGAGGCTGGTATCTGCCAAAATGGGAAAGAAAATCTCTTCTACTTCTGGACCTGATCAAGCAAAAAAAGATTACAAAAATATGACCTGATGTACGCTTTGAATGGAAATACTCATTATAGCTGAATGCTGAGAAATTTGTGCACAAGTTTCAGTTAAGCCTAATGACCAGTTACATTTTGAGATGGTTCATTTTCCCCTTATGTAAAAAACTTTTAGTTTCCTACTGCCAGAAGTGACTAAAAAGGCAAAATTATAAGCACCATTGTTTAAGGCAAGAGAGAAGACCTCATCTGAAATGAGAGGTCAAACTGTATTCTACAGAAAAGGATGACTAGTGTGCTCCAGGAAACTGGAGGAGAAAGTCAACAAGATGTCGGTCTGGTAAATCCTGGGTTAGGTAAATCGGAGTGAAATCAAAGCTTTGACTTGACTTTTGCAATGGAAGTTAATGCCAAATGGGAGGATTATTTACTCTCTAAGACAATGTTTGAGCAAGAACAAATGGAGTCAGACTAGCCATGGCTTCCATTAGACTGGAAATCAGAGTTCAAAATCATGCATACAGTCAGTATTTGAGGCAGGTATGGGCTGGAGCAGTTGCAGAAGGATACCCACGCTTTCAGACAAAGCTTGATAGGAATAGTGAAAAAGCTGTATGATGTGGTATCTGCCAGAGTGGGATAATGGATCTGATACTCTACTGTATCTCTTCCTAGCTCATTTTCCTAAACCTAATGCAATTTGTGTGTACTTTCAGAGAAGGAGAATGAGAACGCTTGCTGTTTAAGATGATAAGGATGATTGGAGAGCAAAGGAATGTGGTTTTGTTGTTTCGGTTCAGAGCTGCCATACAAAGATGGTAAACAGCAGAGGCTGGAGCTAGGTGTGGGCTCCTGCTGGTGCTTGCAAGCTGGCAGTTAGGAAGAGGCACCGTGTGCTTGAACAGAGCAAGGCAGAGGTGACCTCACAGAACTGTGCCACAGGAGCATCTGGAAGCCAAGCAAGTGTGGGAGCTGTGTCTGTCTCTGTACCATGCAGGAGGCCTGAGGCAGAGTACTCTGGTTAGGAGCTCTGGTTTTTGTGAGTGGGATTTGCAGAAGAAAGGCAGAGGAGGGGGAGACAGAACTGTGTTAGCATGTGCAAAGAGCAACCATGTACCATTGCTGCTGGTGGTGCCAGTCAGTGCCAGCTGACATGCGAGTGGAGGAGTGGAGCGTGGCTACTGCCTGTCCTGCAGCAGCTGTGTGTCACAAGCTCTCCTGTAACGCGGTACAAGGTTTCTCTCTTTCTGCCAGGGAGCACTGTGAATACTACACTTTAATTCAGAGTATATAGCTTACATATCGTATCTACACGTACGTGTTGTCATTTTATTTAAGATGAAGCCCAAAAGCGTCCTATAAGAATTTAATTTTTTGTTGATGCCGATGTTACAAATGCTGCCACCTTAAGCTACAGGGTAAATACCAATTGCCGGCGTAACCAGAGCAAAACTTGATCTCTGAAGCATTATTCAGTGACGCAGCATGTGGGACCAATGTGCTTGTGATAAACTCGCAGAGCAAATCCAGCTCAACTCAGGGACAGCCCCACCACACGCTTTGCTGCAGCCACTGCTCAGCTAGAAAGAAAAACCGCGCTAGAGAAAAGTCACGAAGTGTCTGTAGAGCAGCGCTTATACACAGCCACTAGATACATTTGCAGCTGAAGTAAAATAGGTTGGTACATTCATGATTTAGGAAGTGCACAGCCTGCAAACAGCTCCCAGCCGCGGGCACAAACTCATTAGCGGTAACGGCCCCGCGGCCGCCATGTTACGACAGCATTCGCCCGCCCCTCACGACAGCCTCCACCTCGCGCCCCAGGAGGGGCGGGGCCCACGGCCGCGGAGCAGGCGCGGTGCGCCACCCTACGGTCACGTGACGCGGGTCAGGTGAGCGTTGGCGGAAGCGATCGGCGCGGGGTTCGGGTGCCGGGAGCGGCTGGGCGCCATGGCTTCCATTCTGGATGAGTACGAGGACTCCCTGTATCGTTCCGCCTCCGTGCAGCAGAGCCGCGCCAGCGTGGGCATCCCGCACTCCGGTGAGTGCCGGCAGCGCCCCTAGGCTCCTCCCCGGGTGACGGGCAGGCCCCAGTCCCGGCTGAGGAGCGGGGAGTCAGAGGCCTGCTCCCACCGTGTGCTGTGCGGGGTGCTACGGTGGGGAGAGGGGGAGACGAGGTGGCAGGCTGGGGCAGGGAGTGGGGCATGGCAGGCTGCGGGAGTGCTTTCAGTGATTGTGCTTTCAGGTACGTTGCTAACTTTGTGCTGCAGCGTTTGGCTGCCCCTTCTTCTGTCATTTGCTGTATGAAATGTTTCAGCGCGAGGGATGCTGGCTTTCTGATGAAGCTCGAGGGTGGTACGTGTAGTCTCAGCAAAACTTAGGGGCTGCTTGGCTACGGGAGGGCTTTGTAAGGCCTTACCCATGTGCGCCAGAAAGCAGTGTGTGCTGAAAACACGTGTATGTGGCATGCCATGCCTTTGTAGATGTGAATCATGACCACTCCTCAGCACTACTCAGTTCAAGGCTGTGGTAGCTGACAGGGATCATTTAGCTTTCATTTTGGTTCTCATCAAGGAACCTTGCTGTTACAGCCACAATATTCTGGCTGTATGCTCTTCAAGAAGGTGTGCACCCAACGTAAAGATGTGATCACCAATGGGTTATTTCTTTCATACACAAAAAAGCAAGTATTTGTCTTGCTAGATTTGAGGTGTGTTCATCAGGTTCAATAACAGTTCTCCATCAGATGCCACCTCACAATGCCACACTGAGTACTGAGTGAGAAATGCTGACTGTGAGGAGATTTTGGTCTACCTGGTATTGTCATTGTGGCAGCAGCTGCTGTGCAGCACTGGCATACAAGAGGTATATGTTTACAGATGCAGGCACATTCTTTTAAGCTTTCTCCTCATGCAGTGTAGCTCACTGTTAGCCTTTGGGGAAGCTGAGTTGTAAGGTTTGTATATGTGTTGAGAATTGATAAACTGCCATGTTCTTTATACTATATAGAATAACTGCACAGATAGAATTACTCCGAGTCTACATGCTGAAGTAGGCTTGTTCCTCCTGTTTGTTTTAACATGCATTATGTTACTTTGCTCTGTAGTATGACATAAAGAATGACTGTCCCCAAAAGGTGTTAAGCAAAGTAGTGCTGGGACAAGCTGCCAACAGAAAATACATTTGCAAGGACTCAGCTTTTCTTCTTGCTGCAATATTCTCTTTGGTCATGACTGTCTCACAGTTGAGAAATCTGCCTGCTTGCTGACAAATGATTTTGACAAAGGAAGTTCCAGAAACGGCTAAATTGCAAAGGTGCAATCCAATAAAGATGTTAGTCATTCTTAGATTACTGTGCTGATTTGGAGCAAAACATGGACTGGTAGAAGCTGTGGGCAAGCTGAAGTTTATGTTAATTGACTTTGGAAGAATTGCATATGAATAGTTAACTTCTCAGAGCATTCCTTAAGGTTAGGTTAGAAATCTTGGAAGACCTTAAAATTTATTCCCTTGTTTCAGTTAGTTGTTCCCAGTGCTTGGAAACAGCTACTGTTTCTCAAAGCTGTACATTCTGTTGTAGACCTCAAGTACAGCCTACGGTGTAAACTTTAGGTAGTCCAGTTTCAGCGTGGAAAGAACTATTTTGATCTGCTGGATATGACTGAAGTTGGTGAACTTAAATCTTTGAACAGATTCAAAACTCTCAGGAAAAGTGCAAGTTTTCCCAGAAGTCAGAATGGGAAATACTGCAGTAGAATTTCACCTGAACACAGAAGGGACGTTGGGGTCAGGATGGAGGAAGGGGACCTTCTGAATGGAATGTATGTTACACAACAGATATTTCCTCCATGTAGAGAATTGTAAGCTGGAGAAGTGTCCTTGTCCTGTTATAGACAGTAGTTAAAATTATGATGGTGATGATGATGATGCTGTGGTTGTTATTCCTGTAATGGGTATAGCCTTGAAATCAGTGCATTCATAATGACAAGTTTAAGCCATGACATTGCAGCTCCTTAATCTGAATTAAAGAACATATGTTTTACTTTTGTTTGGCTAAAAATAGAGGAATGCACGTTTGTGTAATTGGATGATGTTTAAGCAAGGATCGATGTGTGGGAAAATCTGTGCTGAGCGAAAGGCTGCCTACTTGGATTGTGGTTGCTTTGTTCCTGCATATCTGTCTTGCATTTAAAGCAAGAAGCCTTTAATGATCCACAGCTGGCCTGCTATTGAGGCAGAGGTGAGGAGAAGCCATTCCAAACAAAGGAATCATGATACTAGCAAGTGGCTTTCAACTACTATGCTAACCTTTTCAACAAAGCTGAAATTAGAGTTTTTCAGGATAATCTGGGTGAGGCCGTAGGTATTGGATATGCTTTAGAGAAGTGTCTTTGAGTTTATTGGGCCTGTGCTCTTCAGAATGAGGGAAGTCAATTTCCCCTGAGAATTCCCCTTAAGTTCCTCAAATTCAGGTTTATTTTCTTGGCTTACATCTTTCTGGGTAGCTAATTTCATGAATGGCTTTAACTTGCCATAGCTCTTTTTTATTTTTTTTTATTTCTTTTAATCTTCCTGTCCAAACTAACTGCTGCACGGATCTGCTTGCTTTAGAAATCCTTCACTTGCTCATGGAGCAAGGCAGAAGAGCTAACCTCAATATATCAAGTCTGTCTGGCTTTCTAGCTTGAGGTAGTGTGGTCGAACAGATCCTGTGCTGTTTTCTTTGTCGGAGGGTTATGTAAGACTTTGTGCGTATGGGAAATGTCAGTCAGTGGGAAAACTTGTCTCAAGGGACAGATATGGATGCAGCTTTGTGATAAAATCTGTTTGTGAATGTACAGATGTTCCAGGATTCTGTGATGATTATCATCACTTGGCTTCAGTTTTATATGAACGCCTTCATATTTTACAGTTCACTGCCATATCTGAGATCTTTGTAGTGTTTCACTTCATCATAGGAGGCTGATAAAGGGCATTTGCACAGGCCATGTCATTCTATTTCTGAAGAAGGACAAGTCCCATATTTTTGGGTTCAGAGGTCTATGTGTCTTCAATGAAAATTAAATCTGTTGTACTACTTCTCGGTACCCCTTTGTTGTGACAGTTCACCTGTCTTTAAACATTCTGTTTGTTACCTGCTATTCCTATGGCTAAGCCTTTGCCTTTGTTGTAGCCAAAGGAGCCAGTCTTGCCCATCTACACTGAAGACCATAAGAATTTATTATTATTTTTTTTAAACAATAGGTTTTTGAGTAGTTTATTTAATAATTTAACATATTTCTCCACAGGTACATCAGTTTCTTCAGGTCAGACCTTCACCTATCTTTGCCTCTCCCAGCTAGGTCTCCTCCATAAGGAACTCCTTAGTGTGCCTCACGCTGGATATTACGTTTCCCAAGCTAGTTGGGACTCAGCTGACTAGCTGAATTCTTAATCAGTTACACAGGTTCCCACGTGCTGGTTGTATTCCTAATTTCATTTCATTGATTTGGAAGTTTTGCTTCATCAGGCTGAAAATGCAGTGTGTATCGTGCAAAGTAGCCATGTCTGAGCAAACTTCAACCCTCAACTCTAAACTTCATCAGGCATTTCTTAGAATTTGGATATGGTCCTCAGATCCTTTGGAAAACCAGGTAAACCTGGCTGTATTGTAGGATTTGGTTTGAGAAAGTAAACAGTCTGAATATGTTTTGACTCATCAAGCAGTTGATGCCAGGGCTGGAATTCTTTGTGATTCTTTGTGATGAGTTCTGCGACAAGACATTGGAGTGTATTACTACTTTCCAGTTACACATCTGTGTGAAGGCTGCTCTCAGTGTTGATGCTCCATGGAGCAAACTCCCTTTATACTAAAACACAGAGAAGGCAATGGTCACACTGTCTTTCTAGACTAGAGTCTGATGTAGGTTGTCATGGCTTTTGTTTTGTTTTGTTTTTTTTGGTCTTGTTCAAGTACTCATGTTTGTTGTTTTTTTTTTTTCTTGTTCTCCAGGATATGTGAATGCACGACTGGAAAAGGAAACACCAATATTTAACAAGCAAAGGATTGATTTTGCTCCTCCAGAGAAAATTAACAGCTTGGTGGTCTCCTCTAACCAGCTCTGTATGAGCCTTGGCAAAGACACCCTTCTCAGGTAAAGCTGTTGGTGACCTGAAGTTATTGCTTGTTTTCATCTTTTTTTTTGTGTGTGTTAAAGTTTCTTGAGATCTGTTAATTAGAAGAAACGGTAAGCCATGAACCTGCATATATTGAAAACAATAAGTTAAGCTCATATGAACTTTGATTGGCAGCACACATTCATGTTTTGTCTTTGCAGGATTGATCTTGGGAAGCCAGATGAACCTAATCAAGTGGAGTTGGGACGCAAAGATGAAGCCAAGGTCTACAAGATGTTTTTGGACCACACAGGTGAGACAATGGGCTGCATATATTTACAGATGATGGCTGGCAGCAGAGGCAATTGAACATATTGGTTCTGTGAATATGGCAGACAGGTGGTTCTCATGGAATTCATTGCTTTGTGCTATGTGTGTACACATAAGAATTTTTTTAAATGAACTGTAAAACATCTGTAGCTCATTGTAGCCTTGACTGATTGAAAAAACTAACAAAGCACAAGCTTGAAAAGTGATTCTCGTAAGTATCACTAGCTGCCAGGGATAGGAGAGAACTCTGAGAAATGTTTGTCCTTAGAACGGTTACTAAATTGGAAGAATACCTTTCAACTGAAACATCTGAGATTAGCAACTCTAGTTTGCGATGGATAGACTACTGTTTCCATTATGGAAATCCCCCACGTTTTCATGAATGGGGGAAAATTCCTGGATTAGTATGTTGATACTAGTGCTTATCTAATGTAAGGCTGAGAAACCTCAGGAATTTCGCTTGCTTAGGCACAGTGTAAATTTGTTCTCTCCTTGTGCCCCTCTCCTTTTGACAGGCTCTCATCTCCTGATTGCTTTGAACACTAGTGAATGCCTTTACCTGAACAGAAGTGTTCAGAAAGTACGAGCACTCTCCCGCTGGAAAGGCCACTTGATTGAAAGCGTGGGCTGGAACAAATTTCTTGGTACAGAGACCAACACTGGGCCTATCCTGGTGGGAACAGCCCAGGGGCAAATTTATGAAGCTGAAATATCTGTCAGCGAGGGAAGCCTCTTCAGCACTAATCCTGACCAGTACTTCCGACTGGTCTACACTCTGGAGGAGGAATCGGGATCTGCGCCTGTCTGCTGCTTGGAGATTGAACGAGGGATAGAAGGGAAATTTTTTATTATAGCAACCACTCGAAAGAGACTTTTCCAGTTTGTTGGCAAAGTGCCTGAAGGTACAGAGCAGCAAGGCTTCGGCTCCATATTTGCTATGCATGCTGACCACTTGCCCAGCTTCAGAGAGTTTCCAGCCAGCTTTGGATTCAGTGAGATAGCCTTTTATACTCCAAAACTGCGCTCCAACCCACGCTCCTTTGCCTGGATGATGGGAAATGGTGTTTTATATGGTACGTTGGATTATAGCCGTCCCGATTCGATTTTGAGTGATGAACGGGTCTGGGTTTATCCTTCTGATATTGATGTAACTGTGAACAAGCCAATATCCATTGTGCTCACCCAGTTCCACTTTCTGTTGCTGCTGCCTGATCGGGTGATGGCTGTATGCACGCTGAATGAGCAAGTGGTTTTTCAAGATCTGTTCTTGGAGAAGTTTGGCACGTTGACACGCATGATCAAAGATCCTATGGTCCAGCAGATCTGGATCCACACTGAGAAAGTTGTGTTCCGCTATCATGTCCAGCGGGAATCTAGAGATGTGTGGAAAATGTATATGAATATGAACAAATTTGATTTAGCCAAAGAATACTGTAAAGACCGTCCAGAGTGCCTAGATATTGTGCTGGCAAAAGAAGCAGAACACTGCTTCCAAAACAAGAGGTATCTAGACAGTGCCAAGTGTTATGCACTGACCCAGAACTATTTTGAGGAAATTGCCCTTAAGTTCATTGAAGCCAAGCAAGAAGAGGCCCTGATGGAGTTTCTAATTAAGAAGTTAAATAACCTAAAGCATTCTGAGAAGACACAGACCACTCTGCTGACCACATGGCTAACAGAGCTGTATCTGAACTGGCTAGGTATACTGGAAGGAGATCCCTCACAGCGGAATCTCTATTTGGATACCCGGGAGAAGTTTCGCACCTTCCTGAGCAGCCCGAAGAACAAAGACTGTTTATTTAATAACCGGGCATCTATTTATGAGCTTTTGGCAAGCCATGGGGACACAGAGCACATGGTCTATTTTGCAGTCATCATGCAGGACTATGAGCGAGTAGTAGCTCACCACTGCCAGCATGATGAGTACGATGAAGCTCTAAATGTGCTGTCCAGGCACAGAGATGAGAAGCTGTTCTACAAGTTCTCTCCGGTCCTCATCCAGCATATTCCCAAGAAAGTGGTTGATGCTTGGATTTCTATGGGCTCCAGACTGGATGCCAGGAACCTTATTCCAGCTCTTGTTAACTATAGCCAGAGTGCCAGTACTCAGCAGATCAATGAAGCCATTAGATACATGGAGTTCTGTGTATATCAGTTGGAGGAAACCCAGCAAGCTATTCACAACTATCTGCTGTCTCTCTATGCTTTGTGTCGGCCAGATTCATTGCTGTCATACCTGGAACAAGCAGGAACCAACCCAAACAGAATCCACTATGACCTGAAGTATGCACTGCGCCTATGTGCAGAGCATGGGCACCATCATGCATGTGTCCATATTTATAAAGTGATGGAATTATATGAGGAAGCTGTGGATCTTGCGTTACAGGTACGTCTGTCTATGCATGCATGCTGTGAGATATGGGAACTTACTTCAAGTTATCATGAAGAACCAAGCATTGAGAAGTGAACACCCATCAATATTGGAGCTGTACGGATAAGTATAGGAGGGAAGACTTTCAACTTCTGAGCTTTCGTGATTGTTTTAGGTAGACAACTGACTTTAACAAGTTGCAATTGAGAGCGGGAGCATGGGAGATACAAACAAGAATATGATCTGTCTTAACCCTAGTCTCTAGCACAAAGTAAAGTGTCTGCGTTTATTCAAGGTGTGCATAGAAACTCTTCAGGATTCTATTAACTTCCTATTCCCAGCTGTAGTAATTATCAGAGGAATACCTTTGTTTGCTTAGGCTGACCTTTAGGGAGGTGTTTGAGTTCACTCCAGAGACATAGCTGTATCTTCATTGAAATGTGTGGCCAGCAAAGACAACGTATCATAGATTAGACCCTTATTGTAGTTCTGGGCTTTGTTCTCTGCTGGGTAGTGAGGAAATTTTCCAGCTGGAGGAATACTGGATGAGTGGAGAGAAGGTGTATGACATGAAAATAGCAGGCCAGTATTGCTGCCCTAGGCAGCAACAGCAATAGGGGTTTTTTTTGTTTTTTTGTTCTTGTAAGTACCTGCTGTAATGGAAGCATAGAATGGTAGATAAACAAAGAAGAATGCTTGCTTGACTCAATTTCCATGTCTGTTCACCTTCTAGGTGGATGTTGATCTTGCCAAGTCCTGTGCAGATCTCCCTGAAGATGATGAGGAACTCCGGAAGAAGCTGTGGTTGAAGATTGCTCGCCATGTTGTTCAGGAAGAGAAGGATGTCAAGAAGGCAATGGCCTGCCTCTCCAGCTGTGCCCTGCTGAAGATTGAAGATGTCCTGCCATTTTTTCCAGACTTTGTCACTATTGACCATTTCAAGGAGGCTATCTGTAACTCCCTGGAGGACTACAACAAGCACATTGAGGAGCTGAAGAGGGAGATGGAGGAAGCCACGCAGAGTGCCAAGAGAATCCGAGAGGACATCCAGGAAATGAGAAATAAGTATGGCTCTGTTGAGCCTCAGGAAAAATGTGCTGCTTGTGACTTTCCTCTTCTAAACCGCCCATTTTACCTTTTCCTTTGTGGCCACATGTTTCATTATGACTGTCTTCTTCAAGCAGTTTTTCCAAACCTTCCTGCCTATAAGCAGGCAAAACTGGAAGATCTTCAGAAGAAGCTGGCAGCTACCAGTCAGCCTTCCAAGGGCCACCATCGTCCCAAGGATGCAGATACTGCTAGTCTGGGGAAGGGGCAGCAGAGCCGGGAACAGATCAAAGCTGACATTGATGATATTGTGGCAGCTGAATGTGTGTACTGTGGTGAGCTGATGATCCGCTCCATTGACAAACCTTTTATTGATCCTCAGAAGTACGAAGAGGAGATGCAAAGCTGGCTGTAGTTCTCCAAATCTGCAACTGTCATTATACCAGAGAGGTTTTGTTCACAACTTGTAAAGCTTCTGTGGTGGAAGTAAAATCTCCGGAAATGGGAACAGAGTGGCTTCTGTGGAACTCTTAAGGAAAGAGAAATGGGATCTTGTCATCAGGATTATAGTAAACTAATCTTGAAAAAAGTGGAGATACAGCTATTGCTGTCTTAAGAACTCAAAAAGCAATTAGAGCTAATCTACTGGATTTTTGTTTTAGCAGATGTTTGCTGTTTGCAATTTGAGGTTCTCAGTGTGAAACTAATGGTGTGCCTTGTTGCCCAGAAGGAACTGGGGACAGCCTGTGGTTTCTCTTCACTGTTGTGTTGTATCTGTTTTGACGAAAACACACTTAAATTGAAGGCAGTGAGGAACACTAAACAGTGTAGTCTTCATTCATCACTTCCAATGCTAGAATTGTCTTTGGTTTTCTTTTTTTGCTGAGTCTATAGCCACTTATGCTGAGGGAACACGAAAGGAGAAGTGCTCTTGCACAGATATTTTGTAAACGTTGTGCTACACAAATACATGTTTCTACACAACGTAGTATAAGAGTGTGTATAATTTTCAAGCAGATGTCTCAGCGTACAGTTTAGTCATTTGACTGCAGTTCTCTTTCCCACAAGCTTTGTGATCAAGCCCATGCATTTTAATTTTCTCTGGAGGCTTTATTGCTTTTTCTAATAATGGTTCTTAGTCTGTTTACACCTTCATCCCACTTCCACTTTGACTTCCTTTGTATAGTGGATCTTGTTTTCATCTCCACCCCAATCCAGTGTTCCAGACAAGTAAGAACACTGCCCAGTTGTATTGTTGTGCTCTGGTCCTCTTCAGGCAGCCCTTGAGCACTGGAATAGAGATGCAGTCATAGATCAAGGACAGACTACAGAAAACTCTTAACTGGTAAAAAAAAATTTGCTCTCCTTGCTAGATAGCCAGCAATCTTCTGCCTTCTTGGCAGCATTTGATACTTTCTGGGAATGGCTGCAAGTTGGTGTTTCTGTCTATTGCTTTAATTTGGAAAATTCTTCCCAGAATTGTCCACTGCATTGTGGGCAAGGGAACAAAAAGAAAATTCTCCAGCAGTTAGTCTGGGTTCCTTGTTTCACTACTGGAGAAACTGAAGTTTTAATGAAGTTCTGCTGGTTGTGGCTGAATTGCAAAATTAGCAGAATTGATCTAAGTTAAAAGTGATGATTCTTTTAAGTCAAGCAATAATATTGTCCTCTGAAAACCTCTTCTGTTCTTTCACAAGCCTGTGCTTGTCTTGAGAACTTGCCTCAATCTGCAAGTCCTATTCATAGGATTGTAGAACTAGGTCTTTTGCTTCATAGCAAGGGAATATAGATTGGTTTTCTTGAGGAGTTGACTTAAGAATTTTGATAACCATTCATAGCTTCAGAAGACCATTCATGCATTTGTTGTTGGGAGCTTCAGCCTGTAATGAGTGTGTTTTGACTGTGCAATGTAAGTAATAAAAAGCAGAGCTGAAGTGGGAAGACCTGAGGTGGCTATTTTTCTGCCTTTTCAGAGAAACATCAGTTGCAGCTTATTCTGGTGGAGAGAGTAATTTAGAGTTACCTATTTTCTTTAGGACATTCTTTATGTTTGTTCTGTCTCTTTACTTTTTGGTGTTACAGCATGCTTGCCTGGTATATTAAAAGTATTATCCTTACATTCCTTTCCTATTAGTGCAGCTGATTTGTTACAATGTTAGGTAAATGTTTCTGTTTGTCTCTAACGAGGAAAAATATTTTTTGCTTACAGACCATTCCAAGGGAATCTGGTCTGTAGGATTAAAAGTCACAAGTCTCTGCCTAAGATGGGTTTGTAGGGGAAAGTACCTCAAAAACCCACTTGTTTCAGTCTTAGGTATTCATACATCTCAGTTAACAAAACTAAAACTACATTATTTTTTTTAATGGCCAGTATGCTGTATTCTCTGAGGGCTCTAGGCTTCTTCAGTAGGTACACATACCACAAATGTAATGCTTCCTCACCACTGTTAATTGAAAATCTTCTAAGTTATTTTCTATTGAGGCTGTGGAAATTGTTACTGCCTGAAAAGACTCCAGCAGTGGTTAAATGACCAGTGTCAGTAGTGTAGGAAGCTATATAAAGATACCTTCTGAGCTTTCCTTAAATTGTCACGTACTTCCAAAGTTTTGGTAAGTTCTCACTTGTGTTTCGTGGCAACTTTGCAGTACATCTCCCTGAAAATGAGGTGTTTTTTGGGGAGGGCAGATGGAAGCAAACTGTTTACTGTTCTCCAATAAATCCAGTCTGCAAGATCTCTTCCTCTGTGCTTTCAGAACAGTGTTTTGATCTTTTCTCCTTGTAGTTTCAGCACAGTTGTGGTTTTTGAAGTCCTTTGTATTTATTTATTTTTGTTCAACTGTGAATGAACCATATACCAGCTGTTACAAACAACATGTTTTTGAGCCTTATTCTTGTCTGCGTAAGTAATCTCTGTCATTTAATTTAATGCAGGTAGAGAAGAGAGTAACCAAAAGGGTGGATGGGAGCCCAAGCCCTGTTTAATAGGAGTAAACTTCTGTAGATAGATTTGTGCTGAAGAAATTTAGGCTTTACCTGCACAGCTAAAGTAAACGTGCCCGTTATCTTGCCTCAACATCAAGCAAGTAACTGAAGAAATGCTGCAATCATAGGAGACAGCAGTGAATGTGTATTATGGGAAAACTTGTGAAGAATTTCAGATGCGCTTGCTGTTGACCTATCAAGTCAGGAGCACATCAATAAAATTCGGAGCTGTGTGGGTTGTCTCATTACTAAAAGTAAGTGATTGGGCTGGAAATATAGTAAGGCAGGTTCTTAGCAAGCCACTAGATGTCATTGCTGTCCATTTAAATGCTTAGGCTTGCTGCAGACAAGCTAAAGCTTGAAAAGTATGTTACACAACAGAGAGGAAACAATTCAGATTCTCAGTGCCTTCTATGTCAGAAAGGAGAAGCCAGACCTGTAAGGTAGTTTCTGGAGGCAAAGATGCTATGAAGAATTATCTCTAGCTAAAAGGAAACTTTATTTCACAGGTCACTTTCAGGTATCAAAAGCTTTTTTTACTCAGTTTAGTGGCATTTTTTTTACACTCTTGTTTAATTGCATTCCAATGTAAGTTCCTCCGGAGACTATCTCACTTTGTCTCTTGAAGTGGCATTTGGTGGCCTAGGATCTGGCTGTTACCTCTGCTACTTGTCCTAGTGGCAGAGATAGTAGAAGTAAATGTGAGGCAGCTCTTTCATTGCTAGAGTTTACACGTGGTCTTTATTAAAAGCACCATTACAACTGGGTGTGTTAGTGTTTGGGTGAGACACTGAGCAGTGTGACCAGAGATGTTAGTGTTTGTTTCTCAGTGTGTCTCTGAGTTACAGGGTCATCATCTCAATATAGGAGTAGGAACATCCTGTATGCCATCAAAATTAGATGTCATTTTATTCAGAAATCATCTATTAACATTTACTTCTTTGAAAGGCAGGTTCAAATTAAGTATAATGACCTGCCTCTGTCAGTGTATAGACTATGTTTACAAATGCAAATACTTACTTCTAGTGAGAGTTCATGGGAAATCTTTCCATTAGGTCCTTGTACCACTTAATTCAACAATCCTGTACTGATCTGTGGAAAGGTAGACTGCAAGTGGGCTTCTTCCTTGCATTGAGTGTGATGAGTTGAAATTTGAGGTTTGAAATATCCAGGGCTTATGGACTTAGGGGTTTTGTTTTTTCAGTTGGACTCAATCTTTTTCTTCAGAATAGATGGAGAGCCATGCAATTCACTATGGTAAGTCTGGTGTTTGTGACAGAACCTTAAGGCATCCTCAAAGCAGGGAGATGCTGGCTAGAATCTTCTGTTCCACCTCTTGTACACCAAGGTGGGAGGAATGTCCTGGAAGTTAGAGGGAATAGAGATACGGTTTGGTTAAGCTTTATGTATTTGCCTGACTTCAGAGAAGACTTCTAATTGGAACTGTGGGAGTTAATGGATCTGTAATTTTCATCTGAGGTCTTGAAGAAAAAGCTTGTCTTCTATTCAAAAGAAACGTCAACATTTTAGTAAATTTGTAGAGCTTGAGACTTTAAAAGGAAATATTACAGGAATGCTTTTTATTTGCTGTGAGTTTAGGACTCTGTTCGTGCCCCATGTAGACTTCATACCCTCAGAAGCCTTCTAGGAGTTAAGGTTTGTGCCCTTATTGTGATGTTGGAGACTCATAATGTTCCTCCCTCAAGCAAACTGACTTGCAGCTGCTTTCAGGTGGAAAAAGAGAGAAGAGATTAAACAAATTTTAGATCTATCAGTTGAAACTGGTTGGGGTGGAGAGAAAGAAGCACTGAACTGAGTGTTTTTTGTGATGCCTGGAGGTGCTCGAGAAAGGTTGTTCTGATAACATTCCTTGCTTAGGAGCAAGGAAGGTACAGGAGCACTCTAAGATTGTACATTTAGCTGACTAGAAATCCTAACTATCAAATCCTCTTCCTCCTAAAGAGGATTTGCTACAGCCTTTTGTTTGTTAAACTGTTTGTTTGCTTCATTTATAATAGAATAGTACTGGTGGAGGCATCTGCAGTGAAAATGCCCTGGAGGATATGAGCAGTCACAGCCTACTCCTTATTTTGTGTGTTATTTTGTTCTTTGTAGGTAGCAGCTAATATGAAAAAGATTGACAAATGGTTTGGTATCCAAAAGCAGGTATTCTCCACTTTGTGCAGTTGAAGTCCAAGTGCCAGTCACCTGACATGGGATGTGCTTTTTGGATCGCAGCATGAGCTTGATGGCTGTTGGACTTTGCTTAAGCAGGTATCTCTGTTTTCCGATTAGTTACTCAGCAGTCTTTTTTTCATTTCTGCATGTACATACTGAATAGATTTTCTAATGAATGTTTACTACAGATCTGGGGTCAAAAAGCTTTTCTTATCTGTAGTTTTTTGTTTTTGTTGTTGCTTTTGTTTCTTCTATGGCACACAAGGTGCACAATGTGGTTTTCTTAGAGAGTAGATCTAACATTTTTCGATCTCTAATGTTTCACCTTTTTCCCTTTTCTCACAGAGGTGTGTTTTCATTGGGCCAGGACTTCTGGGTTAATTAGGAACGTTACGAAGAGGAATGTGATGGTTGCTGCATTAGTTTTTTAGGACTTCTCCTTATAGACCAGGTTGTGACAGTTATTAGAAGCTGCTGTTTTTTGATGGCTGCTGTTTTTCATTCAGATGAACAATTCTGGTAAGAGCCAACAAAAGCCTATGAAGATGCAGGTAGTCAGAATTTTTTTGTGTTTGGCTAATTAACACGGTCCTTGCAAAATATTCTTCTAGTTTTCCTCATATTGCAGAGCTATCACTTAGCTCTGCATCAATATGTATAACTGGTCTGTTGGTAAAATAAAATAATCCTCCCAAGCATAGCTGAACAGAATGTTGCCATCCTTGATAAAGGGCCACTAACAGCTCGTGCTGTTTGGGAAGACCACACAGAATGTTGCTGGACAAGGAGGAAACTGGTAGTCAAGGCTTACTCTCCTCAGTGTCCCAATTCTTTGTTTAATACTTGCCTGTGTGACACAGCATGGCTGTCTCAGAGTGACATCTGCATTTGTGTTACGGTGGTACATTCTGCTGAGCAGCCCTTTTTGGGAGAAAAGCACTTCCTTATGTTCTACAGTCTGTTTCAAACACTTGCCTGCTTTCCTGGTTAATGAGACTGCAATGACTGGAACTATGACATCTTTCTGCTATGTCCCTCTGCAAGATGGTTTGTGGTAATCCTGTGTACGTGCTTCAAGGACTTGCAGTGGTAGGGATTCCAAAGCTAAAACAACAACAACAAAAAAGTATCACAGGAAATGTCTAATGAAAGTGGAAAATTCAGAAACTTGTTCCATAATAGGCAGCGTTTGTTTTCATTCTGTTGTTTTCATTCAGTACTTAGCAAGAAAGTAAGAATAAACTGTAAAGTAACTTTTCATTCATCTCAGACTTCTCTGAGATGATGACAGTTCCCCATGTATCCTTATGGAGGAGGGACCTGAAAGGTGGAAATCCATGGAATTGAGGGAATTCAGTATTATGTTTCAGCAGCTTAGAGTTACAGGAATTTTCTCAGTTGTCACGGTGGCACCTGTGCCAAAAATAAAGGTGTGGATTATTTACCAGGCGTCTTGTCCTGCCTGGATTGTGCTCCTAAAAAACCAACCACTTGGGAAGTTCATGCTAAACTTAAGGTGAAATAAGGAAGAGGGAAGAATTTCTGAACACAACACAGGCATTATTGTCAGTCTCCGTTCAGCATGTGCATAATGCCAGGCCAGAACAAGCTTTCTGGATGTCCTCCATAAGTCATAAACAATTTGTAGGTATGGCTTTGGGCAGAAGTTTCAAAGTGCTTCCTTTTAAAGTTGTTCTTCGAAGTTAGAATGCTTTTAGAGCTGACTGCCTTCTTATGAGCCTTAAATCAGGAGCAATGGCAGAGCCATTTCTTCTCAATGCCTGACATGTCATGTGTTTTTTATTCATTCTTCCCTCACTGGGGCAGACACCAGCTCAGCAACCACCTCTTTCTCCAGCTCGTTTCCTTCACCTCTGCTCGCTGCTGTTGCAAATCACTTCTTGATTCTGGCATAAATATAGGATGGGTTAGCAGGAAGTTGGCAGTGAAAACTCCCTGATGTGCAGGTTGAAAAGTAAAGGGAGGGAGTTGCAGTGAGAAGGTATCCAGAGCCCTGCTGGCTTTCAGGTTTCAGAAGGATGAAATGTGCAAGGATAGTAGTTACTGCCTAACTGTTAAGGAGTCAGCAGGACAATTAAGCATTGTGTCTTTTAATGCCACTTCTCTCTTGCCCCACGTGGCTGTTCTGAGTGAAGCAGTGCAGTAGTAGGATGGGCATTTAAATAAAGTTTGATACTAAAATCTCAGCCCATTTCCAGTACCACAAATGACAGCCAGAAAGGATTTGGCTTTTCACCATTACCCCGTCTTTCTGACTAATACCATTTAATGAGTATGGGAGGCTCAAGATGGCCGGAGAAAGTAATCCTTCCATTGAGAAACAGCTATCTGATCTTATACAGGAGGGCCTGAGTTCTGCTTCCCCCTTTCCAGATGGGGCTACACAATACCCCCACCTCAAAACAAATTACAGACATATGCATGCACAAAAAAAGCAGCATGCCAAGTCTGTCTCTTTACCAGCTCTGTTTCTGTTAACTCCCTGACGTTTTTAGGGCACAAAAGTAGGTTTCTAATATATACCGAATTCTTGGTTTTTGATGGCAGTTCAGATAGATAATCTACAAGGTTATTGCATATGAATCCCTGCTCTCTGTGGCAAGTGAACCAGTATGTTGCAGGCTGCACCTGTTACATGGAGCCTGCACAACATCCTTGGAGTGCTGAATTTATACTGAAAAGGTAAAAAGAAAAAGTTGTTGCATTTGACTAAGTGAGGATGTTACTCTCTGCCGTAAGTTGTAGATCAAATATAACAAGGCACCCCTTTCCTTTAAGAGAAGTAAGAGAATAAGATCTATATACCCTGGGAACATGTATTTAAAAGCAGCTTTCTTTTGCAGTTCTCCCTCCATTTACTTGCTTTGCATAGTAAAGTTTCACTTTTTAGTCACATCAGCCTGGGTACTGCATTGCTGTAGGATGTTGTTTTTCTGTCATAGCCTAATTAACATCTTAGGTTGGGTGTTGGTGTTCCTCTCCCATGTTCAGGTGCTTAATACAGTTCTTATCACCCCAGCACAGTTACTTTGGATCCTAGCCCAGCCCAGTGCATGCGTGGGCACTGGCAGCGTTTGGATATTTATAGGGATTTCTACTTCCTTCTTTTCTTTGGACCACTTTCTTACTACAAGAATTTGTTGTTCCTTCCATGCTGCAATGGATGTGACCCTCCCAGGGTGGTGTCTGGGCAATAGATGTTGTGTATGCACCTAACCAGCTGCTGGGGCAAGTGCAAGCAGGAGGGTAGGACACAGCAATGGCACACAAGGCGTAGTTGGAAAAACAAATAAAAATAATAAAAATTGCCTCTTTTGCTTCCTTCCACTTTGGCAGATGACTTGGGCTTGTCCATTTATCTCTGTTGGACTGGAACATCTTGAGAACTGTTGCAATGTGATTTTCAGCATTTAGCTGTCTCTAATCTTTCCAGTTGAAACTGTTCTCTCTGTCTATATGGAGTGGTAGAAGAGCAGATGTTATAGGACAGCTCTTTCAAATGGTATGGTGCTGATTTTACGTTGATTCATTCTTTGAAATGTGAATTTATAAAGTTTAATTCTTCCAGAGGTCTTTACACTTATTGCTTAAGCTTTCATCTCTAAGTGTTCCCAGTGGAGAAGGGGCAGCAGCTGTGGTATTGATGGCTCCCATGTTTGGAGACCTGCTCAGCGTTTGCTGAAGGAGCAGCCAGTTGATGAAAGGAAAGCAAGCAGCAAATTCTTCTGTGCTCTCCTTTGGATGAGGTGCTGGCTGGGTTTCTGTGTTCCGCCAGCAGTTTTTTCCCCTCAAAGTTTTCAGGATTCTGGTAATTTTGAAGCCTAGAACAGAAATTCAGAATGAGACAAATCTGTCAACATGTCTCTGTTGAGAGCTCAGTACCAGTAAGTGTGATTTTAGAAAGCTTCATTTTCGAAGGTGGGTGATAATGAGAATATCGTGTCTGAGCTGCTGTGATCAAGATGGGAAAGACCACATGGAATGGAGCTGGACCCTGCATGCCTGACTGGGGAAGACAGCTTGCAGAGGCTCTATTTTGAGCAGTTCTTATCAGAAGGTACTAAGAGATAGAACTGGGAACCATTACTTGAAAGCGTCGGTAGCATCCTCGGCTTCTCATTAACAGATGGTTCAAAGGGGCACGCATGGCAATGCAAACTCATGCATGTTTGTGCTTGCTGTGCTCTGTGCCTCTCCTGGCAGTGCTCACTGGCATAATCTGTTGGAAATTAACCTTTTGCTTAAGGTATCATTACAGAGGCTGGTGTAATTTGTCCTGCTGCTGTGATAAATCTTTCTCACTCCACATTCTTCCAAAAGGAAGGTATTCTGTCAGAGTGGCAGAGTAATGCTGGGTATAGGATGTCACGCTTGTGACAAGCAAACTTTCTTCTCATGCTGTAAGTTTGTATGTGCTTTCATTGCCAGGATTGTCCTCACAATCCTCTACCCCAATTACCCATTGATTAGGGCTCCTCTGGTAATCTGCCAGATGCAGGTTTGTTACCAACAGATGGCAGAAAGCATCTGAGGTAATGAGAGAAAGGATAACGATTGCTGATCTGCATAATAATCAGCTTGTGAACAGGTTTCATAGTTGTTGTTTTTTTTTTTTTTTCCTTCTGTATTTCCACTGGCTTAAAGATCTCACTGATGGACAACCAGGCACCTTCCCTTCAGTTGAAGAAATATTAATGAAAGGACCTGTTTCTGCCTGGCCACAGTAAGTGTTTCTGAAGATGCACATACCACCGAAGACAGATTGAGGTTATACCCAGAGACTGAGATTGTACCCAGAGTGAGTGCTAGGAATGAACATCCAGTCCTTTTATGATCAAGACCACTGATGTGGGCAAAAATACTTTTCATTCTGCTCTTTTCTTCTTTGCTTTTTTTTTTTTTATTATTTTTTTTTAATTTCCCTACAAGCTTGAGAAAATTCTTGATACCTCCTCCTTGGACCAGTTTTACCTTTGCACTGTCCAATGCTTAGTCTGAAAAATGACTTTCCATTTGCACATGCTTTGAGGTTCTGCAGTGCAGTTCTGCTGCTTTGCATGTTGAGAGAAGCACCATTGCCCCTTACAAGTCTGAATCTGAATGACTGTGGAATTCTTGCAGGAAGAATTCTTCTCTGATGAACTCCAGAGCAATGTTACTGGGGCTGTCTACCTCATAACCCACTGATTTCCTATGCTACACAAAACATGTAGTATTAATTTCTGTTGTTTGTCTGAAAGCTGCATGCATGTGGACTCCTTCCATTAGTAATTCCCCGTATATGAAGTAAGCCATCTTGTCTTTGTGCCATTCACTGTGAATTTTGCTGTAGGATTTGAGGTAATAAATTCAGTGCTGTGCTATCTTCCATTTATTCCCCAGCTGGGCTGGTACACACAGGTTCCTATCCAGCTCTCTCACTTTGATGAAGTCCCTTCTATGGATCAAGATCTAGATGGATTTATTTGAAATTTGGACTTGATTTCACTGAATAGTAAATGAAAATACTCTCCCTGAGAATCTTTTTTACCCTGCATGCTGCCAGTGCATCAGCCAGTTCTCTGTGATAAACAGTGTTGCTTATCAGAGGCTCAACTGTATGATGCACAGCCATGCACTGGTGGCTAGGAACTTGAGTGTTTAAGCCCTGCAAGGCAATCAGTGTTTACTCCTGTGTGTTGCAGCTGTATAATGTGAGGGAAAAGGAGGACTTTTATTTTTGAGCTTATTCAGTGAGAAATACGCACAAGGATTTGCTATTCAGTCTTGATGCTGAGCTATAAACATTGCTGTTGGTTGCCAGATTTTCTTGTCCTTAGCCTGGTTTCTAGGGAAACGGGGCCAAGGCATCTGAGCTTGTGTATGTTTGTTGTAACAAGTTCCTTGTCTTTTTCATATAAGGCCTAGGTCTATTCTCCTAACGTAGTATCAGAACAGCATTATAAGCTACCCTTTCAGATGCTGAGATACTTGTGTTTATTTTCTGGGAAGAGAATGGCTTAACCATTTTCTACGTTATATGGATGTTTTCTAAGGAAAGCTGGGAGCATTTAGCTGTTCTGTTGAATAGGTGAGCCCTGATTAAGTTGGGTCTTGCCTGGAAGCCTTGCAAGGAAAGAGAGCCTGAGGCAGAGATTTCAGGTGCATCTGAGTTGGCATTTGTTTCTTCTGGCTTATGGACAGTACCAGTGGGCAACAGAGCTGAGAAAGAATGTGTAAAGAGAGAAGAGATGGGGGTAAAAGGAGGATGAATTCCATCTCTTGGTACTGGTGAGCTTTTAGTTTACTGTATCTCAGGCTACTGACAGTTTGAATATGTAAAGATGATGTGTATTCCAAAAGCATGATCTCTTTTGGTGGAAACAAAAATCATGACAAATGGGAGTCAGCTGTGAGACTGTGTGTATCCTGACAGCAGCATGCTGGGTGGAGAGCAGACTTCTTGGAAGTGATTGAAGTGTAAGTAAAAACAAGTGGTTGGATTTTTTTCTTTTTAAGTTTTGTTTAGTTTTTTCCTGAGGAGCACTGCCTGTTACTGTTCATACTTTCTTTGCTGTTACCTCGAGACTTACCTGGTGTGAAGTGAAAAGCAGAAAGGTGGTGCAGTATTACAGTGGGGCTTATGATCCTTCACAGTGGGAATTTGAACGTAGGTGGCTGCCATTTCTATGTTTGCATGTCTGTCTGACCCTTGTCTGCACATTCAGTGCTGCTGAACTCTTGTCCACTGCTGATGCTGTGGCAAGGCACTGGTGCTTTGCACTCTGCAGAAATAAGCCCTGTGTTGTTTGGGTTTGCTTGTCCAGTACACCTGCTTCTACTTTTCTTCTTTTCCTTCTTCTGTGGAATCTCTCAGCAACACCCCTTTCAAGGCTTCAGAGTCAAACTGCAGCAAAGCATTGCCAGTGACTTCACAGAAAACAGTGGCTGGCACATGGCATCTCATTCCTTGTAGTGCTTAACTCATCAGAGAGCTCTGAGCCTATTCATTAGCACACACAACACTAGCACTGTGTGGTACTTCAAAGAGGGAATTGAAACTCTGACAGTCCTACTGAGATATTTCATTGCCTTCGGCTTGAGGCCCTTTCTTCCTGGTGAAGATGCCTGGTTTCATAGGGGCAGGTTGCTTTATTTACAGATGGCGTGCTTTTAATTTGTCTTTGAAGAGACTCTTTCATAGCAACCCCAGCTCTAGAGTGCATCTGAATGTTTTCTGTGTAACGTGTGGGTAATTCTGAGGGGGCTAGGTACTTCTGTAGGCTAATCCTGCCCTATCATAGAGTCATTTTGATTTGCAAGGGATCCTTGAAGGCCACCTGGTCCAACCCCCCTGCAAAGAATAGGGACACCTACAGCTAGATCAGGTGATCAGAGTCCCGTCCAGTCTGACCTTGAGTGTCTGCAAGGATAGGGTGTCCACCATCTCTCTGGGCAACCTGGTCCAGTGCCTCAACATCCTTATTGTAAAAAACTGCTTCCTCATATCCAGTCTAGGTTTAATAAGAAAGCTATGCAAGGGAGTACTGCAACCTCAAGCAGTACATGTTTTTGGGTCCCCTACAAAGCATTCCACCCCTGACATATCTGAGTCGTGTGTGGGCAGTGGGGAAGCAGGACACATCACAAGACTCTCTATACTTGGGATCTCTAGATAATTACTAAGAACTGTGGAACAGGATGATGCTTGTGCATAGGCAGCAGATTACGCTGAGGCGGCTGAACAGATTACTGTCCCCAGCTGTTCTGTCCCTCCCCATAGTTGTTGCCCTGCAGCAGTGTTGGCTGGGAGGATCTGAGGAGATGAGAAAATCAATGCTTGGATTCTAAGAGGACAATTTTTAATCACTTCTTGAGCCTGTCTGAACTGTGCTAAGTAGGGAAAGAGGATCTGGTTGTGAGCAGTACTTCATCTTGATAGTTTACAGCAGATATCCCACCACACACTGTGAAGTTAACTTTCATACATGAGGGTGGTGGGGGAGCTGCCCTGTCACTTCACCAGCTGATCCCGCAGTGGGGATGCTGCTCCCCACTCACTGCTTTATAACTAGCACAGTCTGATCTGCATAGGAGAAATGCCACAATTCTTGTTCAGTGATGCCCTGCTTCCTGCTGCCAATTACAGCTCTGACCAAAGGAAAGTTTAGGAGTATATTTTTAGCTGAGTATTAATGTTTGCATGCAGCCAACACCCTTTTTTTCAAAACCGATGAAAACAAAACCCAAATAAATTATCCCATGATTATTGATCTTTGCTTAATGCTTTATTGTTTGAAGATGGAGAAAATGTAGCTCATCTTCCTGGTTCTGGTGCTTGTCTGCTCTGTGACCTCGGAGTCGCATAACGCACTGACAACATGGGAAGTGCAGTACCTGTGGCAGATGGCAGTGTGG